AAGAGAGAGATGGATGCCGAGTGTCCTATCTGTCTCTTTCTAGTTGAGCGCTGTGATTGGTTGTTACAATGAGCCGCCAAGACGACCACGCGACGTCAGGAGGGGAGAAAGCAGACTAAAATTTCGTTTTGTAAATATGCGTGCACATGTGTGTAGAATTAAAATTCGTTAAATATTCGAACGTAACAAACTAATAATTGGACGCGATTTGTTTAAAAATGAGGCATTGTTTGAAATGCAAGGCGAAGTCTTATCCTGGATGTAACCGCAGTTTTCACTCGTAAGAAAGTACAAATACGTAACCTCAAATAATTATATGTTATTTTTTCCTACATTTAAAAAAATATGTAAATGTTGTAGGCTACCGAAGGATGTAGATATAAGGCGTAAATGGTTGAATATACTTCAACTACCTTTGTATTTTGAAGTGAAAACAGCATATATTTGCAGTGATCATTTTAGCAATGACAGTTTCTTTGAATTGGATGGAGAAAAATGTATAGCTATATCGTCGTTGGCGCGGCAGCCAATCCCAGCGCGTGATTAGAAAGAGACAGATAGGACACTCGGCATCCATCTCTCTCTTTGCCTCTATCACTTCCACTTACAGGTAGCATATATCCCTTGTTCCCTCTATTCTTATATCTCTATGGTTGTAACGTTCGGACTTATTTTGAAACATTAATAATATATTAGTATAGATCGGAGGCCGACTTGTCTGATTTCAGACATCACTAGGTTAGATATTCACTAGGTATAGATGTTTTATCCCTATGTTACTAGATGTAAGTATATGTATATTCGCGCACGTTAAATATTATAATTAAAATTATAACGCCGAAGAAACGACGTGTCGTTAGAGAGTCTTAAAATCGATGGATCAACTATAGACAAGAGAAACCGTAATCTCTCAATGCGATAAGGCATCCCGTTGCTAATATAAACAGGAGCATGAAACCTAAATCCAAACACCACTCAAGACCGACGCGGCGATATCGACGCGGTGACATCACACCGATGGAATGAATTTCTTCCGTCTCCATGACTCCATTAGCCAACCAGAAAACGACTCTCAGCGACAAAGCAACGTATAAAAACGCGCGCATTCGTTAAGAAGGCCATTCTTTTCTCGTAATTAGCTTTTGGTATTTGTATACTTATATACTTTGGAATATATTAGGCGTAAAATCCGACTGTGTAGCAATTATTTTTGTCTACCCCTCATTTCTCGAACGTTGTGAAATCGAAATTGGAATCGCGGACCGCATCATTCCGCGCAGCGCCGGAACATCCGAGACCGAGCCAAGAGAACGAGCGGCTCTGATTTCTCACCAGATTCATCGATCGTTTCGCCAGACTCCGGAGACCCAGGGTAAACTCGGTGAAAAGCAGAGTGACCTAAAAGCGGAGTCATCGCTCTGTTGACCGTCCACGTAAGTTACTGATTTTACTACTTTCAAATTTCTTATATAGTTATCTATCGTGGACGTAACACTGTACTATATGCTATTGCACTGCGAAAACGAACAGCATTGATGACGTCATGATGATGTCATTCTCGATAAAAAGAACGCTTTAGTGTAAACTCCTTGCACTGGTGTGCACTAGTGCAGAAAGTGTTTCGAAAAAAAACAGATCTATAGTCTGTTCTTTATATAGCTGTACTTGATGCACTAATTCAGAAAAATTACGTATACTGAAGCGTGATGGCTTCTGTCCACAGGATGCGGAAATGCTTGCTGCGCGGCAAGAAGAGACGCGAGTCGGGTATGATTTTGGAACGCAGCCCTGAGAAATATATGACGGATTTAAAAATTTCGAGTTGGCGACACTGATTTTAACATTTTGAGTTGGTAACACTGCTTAAAGTGCACTCTTTATAGCCGAAGTCGTTGCAGTTTTGTGTAAAGGGAATTTCTAATTTAAGAAAATAAAAGGATATTTTCTCGAAGGGAGAGGCTTATTTCGTGAATAGTCAATATCGAAATGACGCGACACGCGAGGAATTGTACTGCGGGTGCAGTTTATACGTACCACGAAAAGAAAAAAGACGCAGCGGCATCAGGTTATGGTACCAATACCCAACGTGTCGGTAAAGATTCCGTCAAAGATTTCGATTGCTGTTGTCTAATGCTACAACCTTGCAGGAATCCAGTGATAACGTATGAATGCGAAATGTGTCACGCGATTTTGTCACCACTTGAATTGTTGCGATATTGATTCATATTGTCATTACAGGAAACACGGTTATTTATTTGACAAAGAGGCAATATTGGAGTATTTCCTGGCCAAAAAGAAGGAATATGCGAGAAAACTGAAAGAATACGAGAAGCAGAAGCAACAGGGAAAAGTAAGCAAAAATCACAAGGATATGTTTTGCAAACCCACAAAAATATATATGCACTTTCTTGCTTCGTCATCAAACAAAATGATTATAGCAAGGGATCAGGAGCCTTAAATACATTTAATTTTTCTTCTTTAACTCGAACATTTTTAACAAAGTTAGTCTTTGTCAAAAAAATATAACGAACAATACTGTGAATATACATTTATCATAAAACTTCATAAAGAAAATGAAAATTTTATCATATAATTAATGTGTCATATTTGTCATATTAGACACTGTTTATAAGGAATTTATTAAAATCGGAAGGAAATGATTTTAATAAATTCCTTTCTAAATTCCTTTTTAACCCTTAGCTGACACACGGGGTTAAAAGTACCCCAGAATGTTTTTGAACGCAAATTTTTCATAGTTGCACGCCAAATTTGGTTCTGTGGCGTCACCTAGTATTAGTCGAGGCTTGACCCAATATTGATAAATAAAACAATTATACACATTTTTTCTTGCTGGGGTCCAAAATATCCCCTATAGCACGTACGTTATTATTTTAACGTGTGTCAGCTAAGGGTTAAATAAAGCTGTACAATGTTTACATTATTGCTTAATTTTGTAATAGGAGCAAACCGCTAAAGAAGAGCTGAAGAAATTACAGAATTATCTCAGCAGTGGGCAAGATATCACCAGTTCTTTGAATGGTTCCAATACTAAGGATAAAGGTTCAGTGTCTAATATGACAAATGGCAGGGACAAAGTATTACCGAGCTTTTGGATACCTTCCAAAACACCAGAAGCAAAGGAAGCTTTCTTACAAAAACCTGATAGCACTATTTATTGTCCTGTCAGTGGAAATCCGTTGAAAATGAAAGACCTGATTCCCGTAAAATTCACAGAAGTTAAGGATCCAGATGACAAAAGATCGCTTATTGTGAAACAAGCGCGATACATGTGCCCTATCACACATGACATCTTAGGCAATAGCATTCCCTGTGCTGTGATAAAAACAAGGTAAGAGTAGCTACATTTAGAGATTTTTTTTTATCTGAATAACAAGTCATATTGCGTCATTTAAACATTTTTACATAGTGGTGATATAGTCACTATGGAGTGCGTAGATAAATTGATAAAAAAGGATTGGATCAACCCTCTGGACAATTCCAAATTGAAGCCATCCGATATCATTCCTCTACAAAGGGTAATTATATTGTATTAATGCGACACATTTTCTAGACAAAATTATATAATGTAAACAACTGAGAAATAATCATTTGGGTTTATTATGTTGCAGGGTGGCACCGGTTATGCATCTGTTAATGATTCGTTGGAGGGTAAACACGAAAGACCGGTGCTGCAAGCGTGAAGAACTCGATACTCATATATAGTTTTTCTTTTCTTTATAAAATGTATTTAAGAATTCTTTTTTTAATAAAATATATTTAAGAATTAACGTTTTCTTGTCTCTCGCTTCTTAATTCAATTTGATGTCGCTGTGAATGCGTTTTAAAATGGGCTAATAGATTGAATATTTATAACTTGTGTAACATGAACTATAAATTCGTATTGCCAGCGCATTTCGGAACGCAATTAGAAGGATACCGAGTCGATAAATCGGAAACGCTATTAAAAACTCCCGCCAAGTGCAACGAATTACTCGAATCCACCCTGAAATTTCAGGGTGGGGAATCTTTCTCTTGAGGGAGGGGGTGCACCTAACTGAACTTTCCGAACGATACTACTGTCGTCACTTCGGTATCACCGAAACGTTTCCTGAACGGCGCATGTCTCCACGGGTGCACCCGTGACTCTTTCCGAACGCAGCCTTAGTGGCGCCATCTCGATTGAGATATAGTTTTTTGAACGGAGCTCGTTGAGAACGCGCGCTCCGCCGGGTAAGCGGCAATCTGCGGTGTGGCGTTTGACAATCGCTGTCGCGTTCTCGGTGGCCGCGCGCGTGTTCGAAAAGACGGTTCCCGCGCGCGTTCCGTGCGTGCGTGCGTGCGTTCTTGCGAACCCTCTGGGACTGGCGCGCCGAAATCGCACGTCGGTTGTCATGTGGATCTACGCAGCGTGCGAGACGAAAAGGGCATCGGAAAGAACGACGACGATAATAACGACAACAAAGAGGTGAGAGGAACGCTTCTCGTGCGTTTTCGCATTCCCGAGAGGGATTCACCGGAATTTCCGTCTTCCTTCTTTTTTTCTCGCGTCTCGAGCGGTCATGGCAAACAGACAGCTGACGATGAACGTAGCAAGTAGCGCGTGCCGGTTCGTCGGAATAAGGCTAGGAAAAAATCTCCGCTGATTCGAGCGTGCATTACAGACTTTCTAGACGGCGGTGACGGTAGAAGTTCTCACGAATGAAAATGTCGGAGAAGACCTCCCGCTCCTTCGGGTTTCCTTCGGGTCGCGGATACGAAGCACCTCGCGGCAATTCCACGAGATTCGACCGGCCTCGGAAGAGATGCGCGCGCGAATTGGTCATCGAAGGGGAGGCGGTTCCTCCTCTGCGACTCGAAAAGGCTGTGCTGTTTTACCTGGGGGCAGGAAAGCGCGGGAAGTGGAGTTCTTACGGCGCCGGGATCCGCGGTTTAATATGCAAGATCGAACTTCCGTGTTCTCTCCTCCGGCGTGCGTTCCACGAGATAATCGAATTTTTCGGGCCCGTTCGCTTTGCACGCGCCCCGTGCAATTGAAGCGAGCGGGCGAAGCGGGTCGGAGCGAGAGTGAGTGGTTCAATGGCTGGAGGAACCGAAGGCGACATATCACAATATCATTCTGTGCCGCACACAGTTCGCAGACGATGATATAACACCGTCGCGGCTCTTATCACCGGCGCGCACACAAGAGGAATGCATTTATACATACAGAGAGGCAGGTACTGGTCGGGGGACTCGTGCATTTGTACGAAAGCGTGCAACACGCGCGCGCGCGCCTCCGTGTGTTACGCGTATTCTCCGCAGTACATCGTCCTCGGACCTTTCGCGTCCTGGGCGAAACGAAGCCAGCGAGGGAGTTTTGGGTCGCGACTCGGAACTTTTCCCCAGATTACTTTCGGATTCGTTCTACCACAACTGTAGAACGTTCTACGCTGGCAGCGTGATACTTTTCAAATAATGTCTCTGATAGATAGTGCACGTTGAAAAAGTGTTATGTAACTCTATAATCTATGTAGGTTTATTTAATATCTTGCTTCTATTCGAGCCGATAAGAAAGTCTCTCTCTTGGGGGGAAGGGAAAGATACAAACAGTTTCCTCGTGAAGTTGCGTGCTCTTCGCGACACTTCTTGGCGCTTTTCGGTGACGTCGAAATGTATGTGCACACAGCAAGAACGCATTATGCAAGATGTTCGTTAGATAAACGGGGATTGGATTTCCATGACAGATATCCCGATGAATCCGAAAATGATTGGATAAAAATTAAAATTAGACAACGCGGAAATTCGTGTTAATTCAGAGTACGAGAGGCAACGAGAGATTTTCGTAACAACCGAAATTTTTCCGCGAATTAAGTTTCGTGAACATAGGCGAATAGATAACGAATCTAAATTGCTAATTGATTTCATGCAATTTTTACATAGACGGAATTTCTATTTTGTTCTGACTTGCGTAGATAAGCGATTGAAAATTTGGAAACGTAACGGAACAAAAGTATACAACTAAGTGAAAAATAGTCTTGAATCAAGATAAATATTCTCGTTATATAAGCAAGAATATTATAATATTCATAGAAGATTTTTAATTTTGAATTGAGTGCAAATAATATTTGCATCAATATAAATTTAATCGAGATTATCGATTTAAAAATCAAGATTAAAAATCTCTTAAGAAGATTATAATATTCTTGCTTATGTATGAGAATATCTATTCTTGATTTAAAACTAATTTATTTTCTGTACACTAAGAGAAAAATATCTAAGAAATAAAAAATATTTATTCAGTGGGTGTACTAATAATTTATATTTATACAAAGACACATATTTCCACATTGGGAAAATATTTGTCTCGGATTAAAAAATATATATTTCCTTAAATCTATAGCTTTTCACAAACGGAATAATCTGTTTGTTTAAATATATATTTAAATAAAAGAATTTAGATTTAAGTAATTATATTATTTTAGTACACCGAACATATAAATATTTTTATCTTTTATATTTTTCTTCTCTCAATGTAGGTATTTTGATGCGTGTACCGCGGGAAGATTGATATCAGATTGTATTATTGTCACTTCTCATACTATATACTATATTATTCCGGGGCATCCCCTAGATACACATACTAGCTCGAAAAGCGCAAACGGATGTGCGTCCCGCTATCCTCCGTTCCAACGCTCGTCGTCCGTCGTCGCGGAATATATAAGTGAAAAATTATGCTATGCGTATCAGTCGCCTGTTGCATAATGGTTAAAAACGATGAGATCTGCAGGACTGAACGGCGATATGATTACGTAAGCGACGAGTCAGTTGAAAAACTCGTGAAAAATATAATACATGAAGTTTCATAGCTCCCTCCCTTCCTCCTTCTCTCTCTCTCTCTCTCTTTTCCGCTCGCGTGCGCGAACAGCGATTATATTTTTAAAGATGTACAATATACTAAGACGTTGCGTGATATCTCGATAAGAGTCCATTTTTCGGATGATAAGCATCCTCCGTCGCTGCGTCGTTCTCGACCTCTCTACTCCTCTCTGTTTACTAATTCGATGCGGCCTCTTAAAAAGATAATTAACGTTATATACGTCCATTACATTGACCGGTTGCATAACAGAAATCCAAGGAAAAGCTCGGAGAATAATTCTTTCTATTACACGAGCGACGTGATACGGGTGTATGACCGGCCGCCGGTAGATTTCCGTGTTCTTTTATGAATCCGCACAGCTTGATCCTTTCTCGGGTGCCCGTGTTCTCTCGTGTCCTCGAGTGTTCTGATCAGAAAACGCGATCTAAGCTACATGATCTGAATGCTGAGCGTGATTAATTCTTCTCGGTCGATTAATTAATTCCAACGTGTCGGAGAGAGTTCGATTAGTTTCCACACTGACAGAAAAAATATCTAAGAGATGAAAAATATTTATTCAGCGGATATCAATAATATATTTACTTGAATCTACATGCTTTCGTTTAAATATAAAATAAAAACTGTTCGCTTCCAAACATAAAAAACTACAGATTTAAGAGAATGTACATTTGAATCGAAATTTTAGTTCTATATTAAGCCTTCAAATGAAGAAAACGGCAATAACTTCCCCATTTATAGCACCAAAGGAGCATAATAGAACCTTTAAACATTTAATGTAGAGAGACTTAAAATAGGAAAAATTTTGACTTGGGTATTACCGAAATTTTGATATTACTCTGACTCTCTTAAGGATAGTTTACGCCAATTTAAACTGCCTATAAACTAATAAATAATAAAAATCTACTTTGACGATACTGAAGCTTTTTAACTTTTTTCTTGAACTTTTAATTCTATAGGTTGAATTGTAATGCTACCTTCAATAGCCTATTTTGGCACTAAAAAACAGTGAAATTTAACACATCATCAAGATCAAAGTAGGGATTATATTATATTATAAAAATAGAAATTCATTTTACTATTTTAGTCTCTACTATGGTGTAGAATTATAGATTTAACATCGGGCCAAAATTTTGACTTAGGTTTTCTTATTAGAAAAAAATTTTTTCTTAGTATAAAAATATGTACATTGTAAATAAATATACTATTGGTACCCATCGAATAAATATTTTTTGCTTTTTAGATATTTTCTGCTTCAGTGCAGGCGCGATTCGTTTTTCAATTCCGCCAGATCCGAATCGTCATCACGTGTTGTTCGATATCGACGTTGCGGCCAATTCTCAAATTGCGAAAGTGTCAGGCCAAAGTCTGCCTAAAGACACATTAAACGGACTTTAATCCTTTCGTAATCTCATAATCAAGCGCATTTCCCCTCTTTTCCCCGTTTCTCGGTCCGCCCGAAGCTTAGTTTCCGGCGGAGAGGACGCCGGCTTTCGACCGTTTGGAAAATGATGGTTCATCCGTTCTCGATCTGCCGAGAATGCGTCACCTTAACGAGCGTCGAGACGCATTCTTCGCGCACTGTGATCGGCCGATGTGTACTTTCACCGTACGACTTCTTCTTCTGCCGACGTCGTTTCCGACAGCTGGACGACCGCGTGGTTTTTCCGCGTATTACCTCGGAAAGTAGATTACTTATTCAAGGTTGGCCGAGGGAAGCCATCGTCCAACCATGTTGGCAGCCACGCAAGTGTAATCGATGATTCAGTTTTCCCGACCGGCCGTCCCTCCTTCAGCGGATTCGCGCGCTCTCTCGCCGATATCGTTACGTAAAGATCGCACGCGACTCGGACGAGCGGATCCGATCGTTTCAATCGTAACCGACTGACAAAGAAACCGTATTATTGAAGGCGCCATGCCGGAAGCGGGTTCGCC